CCAGCTGTGTAGGGATAGTGTACCTGAAGAAGGAATGGGAGCAGGAGGAAGTTGGCAGTAGCACTGTGGTTCCGAGGCAGGAGATAGCACATTCCAGAGATGAGTCCAAGACAAGATACTGTGCAGTTGTGAACTGGATGGGGAGGGAAGAATAATTTCATGGTAGTTGTACCCTGACTCCCAAAGTATGTATAAACGTACATACATACATACATACATACATACGTATGTACGTACATACATACATACATACATACATACATACATATTCTGGGAGATAGGGTGCAACTACCATAAAATTATTCTGCCTAATAGAATTATTAGGCAAGATTCAGGAATCAAAGGAATGCAGCTAAAAGATGAAAAATACAAACTACAAGCATTCGTGGATGACTTGGTTTTTATATTAGAAGAGCTGCTTGAGACAAGCCTCAAGCTTCTGAAAAAGATAGAAGAATTTGGAGAATGGCAGGACTGAAAATAAATAGAGAAAAGACCAAAGCGAAATCAAAAACCTTACAGATAAAGAGAAAAAAATCAACTGTCAGAAAAAACATATCTTCAATTAGTTAAGAAAGTTAAATACTTGGGGATACACTTAACAGCAAGATGTGCAATAATAAAAAAGACAACTATGTAAAATTATTAAAACAAATAAAACTAAACGTGGAAAAATGGAAAAATCTACAACTTTCAGTGTTAGGGAGAATAGCAACGGTGAAGATGAATATTTTACCAAAATTATTCTTTTTATTTTAAACAATACCTATAAAATTTGGGGGGGAAATCTTTGATGAACTAAATACATTGATCTTGAAATTTATTTGGCAAGGAAAAAAGCCAGAATTAGATTGAAAATGCTACAAGAAGCGAAAGAAAATGGAGGATTTGGGCTGCCAGATTGAGCTTTATAATATCAAGTATCTGTATTAACATAGTTAAAAGAATGGATAACCCTTAGACATAAATGATTACTATACCTAGAAGGGCATGACCTACAACTTGGATGACATGCCTTCCTATGGTATGGGAAGAATAAAATACATAGATACTTTCAAAACCACTATATAAGAAACGCACTTCTTCTAGAATGGGAAATGATAAAAGTGAAAATTTATAAACCTGGATGGCTTTCAACAATGGAAGCGCTTGTTCACCCAAACCTAATTAACTATGAGAAAATTTTGACTTATAAAGACATTTTGAATATTGAAGGGAAACTAAAATCTAGACAAGAACTGGGAGAACAGGGCATTGATTTATCATGGTGGCCACACCTGCAAATTCAAATGAGATATGAAAAAGATGCTAAAACATCTGGATTTTATAAAGAACAAACAGAATTTGACCAGATACTAGATGAAAAATTGATTAAGAAACTGTATAAATATATATTAAGTTTAAAGATGAAAGAGGAACAAGTTAAAGAAACAATGATAATATGGGCAAAAACTTTGGGCATAACATAGAGTTAGAAAATTGGCAAAGCCTTTGGGAAAGAAACTCTAAAATAACAAAGGTTGTGGCTTACAAAGAAAACCTACATAAAATGTTTTACTTAATACCTATGAGGTTAGCAAAAATGTTCAAAAATATGTCGTATCAATTATTGGAAATGTAGACAAAAGCCAGGCACATACTATCAACTTTGGTGGACATGCCCCAAAAGATTTTGGTCAAGAATACATATATGGTTAGAGAAAACATGTATATTTTAAACCAGAATTATTTTTGTTAGGCATAACTGTAGGAAATTATGAGAAAGAATGTCTATATTTAATGTTACATTTACTAACTGCAGTGAGACTTGTATTTGCTCAGTATTGGAAAGATGAAGAATTACCAGCAGAGGAAGAGATAATAAAGAAAAAATTGGTGCAGAAATGGACCAATGGACATTGAAAATGAAAGAGAAAGAAGATTCAGAATACTTCAGAATATGGGATACATTTTATCAATGGCTAGAAAAGGGAGGTAGAGAAAGGAGTTTAACATGTATTAGTAAGCTAAATATTGGAATCCACACAAAATGTTGTTTATAAAATATTAAGGATTTGTGACGGGTAGGCCTCTTTGGCTGGATGGTGGGGGGGTTAGATGGAGGTTTGGTGGAGGAGGAGAGGGGCTGTTTAATCTGCCCCCCCNTAACTTATATTTTCTAAATATAAGTTGTGGCATCTGGGTACAACTTGAATAAAATATTACATGTTTAATATTTTTAATGAATATGTATTTGCTTTTCATGAATAACTGCTCGTGTCTATAGATTTAAATTGCCAAAGAAAATATGTATCGATTTTATTAAGTAGGCAGATTTCAATCTTATGCACAATTTTGATTTTTTTAAAATCCTAACATTTTCAATGTGACTGATGCAGCCTATGGGGAGAATTGCCATCTTATTTTTTTAAAATCAAGATGGGAGAAATCTCTAGAGAAACTAAATGAATATAGCAATAGCAATGACACCACTTCCTAGTGCTTTACAGCCTTCTCTAAGCAATTTACCGAGTCAGCATATTGCCCCCCCCCCAACAATCTTAGTCCTCATTTTACCGACCTCGGAAGGATGGAAGGCTGAGTCAACCTTGAACTGCTGGCAATCGGCAGTCAGCAGAACTAGCCTGCAATACTGCATTCTAACCACTGCACCACCACGGCTCATATGTTTATGTAACAATGTATAACAATGTAATATTGTTGTATAACACTAATGATAATATTCAGTACAATATATATTATTTACTCTCTTTCAAATATATTGTTTAGACCAGGGCAGACTATGGTGAAATTAAACAAGCATCAGTTTTACTTCTGATACCTCTGCAACTTTTTAGAAATGCTCTAAGCTCCTTCCTTCTAGGCAACAACCATCATCTTCCTCAATATAAAATGACCCATCTTTTCCTTCACTATGTTTGCTCTTTGTGGCCAAGGAGAATGGACATTCCATGAGGAAGTTCCAAATCTACATGGAAGAATGGAACCAAGCTACTAATGTACATTCCCTTTAAAAACAAAAAAGAAACAAGGAGATTGCACAAAGCAGAAGTTCCTACCTATATTGAAAATTTGGCCTTTTCGGCATGAGTGATTTAAATAACTGTATTACATAACTGTATTACATAACTGTTTTTGTGTATTTCTTGGAAGCATTGTTATGGCATTGACTCTACATCCGAGTTCCCCAACCTTTCTGGCTTTGTGGACCAGCAGGGAGGAAGAGGGGATGAGCGGTGGGCAAGTGCATGAGCGGTGGGTTCTGCATGAGCGGTGGGCAAGTGCACACGCGCAGCTCCATTTGCACAAGCAGCGGGCAAACGTACCCACCACTCACACAATTGGAGCTGCGCAACACACACTCGCCCGCCACTTTTGCGCACTGGTACTGGGTCGTGGCACAGGGGTTGGGGACTCCTGCTCTACATTATATCATTTTTAAAGGCATTTTAAATGGTTCTTCTATGTTGCTTTGAATCATTGACAAATTAGGCTACCTTGAGAATTGAATTATAGTAATAGTAACAATATAAAAAATTGCCTGCCTCATGATCCCAAAGAAACACTGCAAAATTATTTTCACAGCATTTCTCTACAGTAGCAGTTTACCCAAAGTTGCAAAATTCTACAGTAGGACATAACCCACAAACTAAGGTTAGGGTTATCTCTACTTTTCCATCTGTCTCAGCCCCCGGAACTGAACTAACGTTTAGGAGGACTGTTTTCCCCCCCCTTTCTTGGCTTTCTGCTGCTGGACTCTGTGACTGACTGGGATGTACCTCAGGACAGAACTGCTGGCCCTGCGCGATTCCCCCCTCGCGCAGGTGTGGCCCAATTCAATTCTAAGGGCCTGCCTCAATGACGGGGTGTGGAGCCCCGAGAGGTGGTATGCAGCTAAAAGAGACCAAAAGAAGCTGAAACTGAGGGTCTTTTTAAAGGGGTGTTTTAGTAAATTTTTAAGGGGTTCGGGGTTTTTAGGGGGTTCGGGGTTGGCCCGAGGGGACTTGGGGGAGCCCTCTCTGAGGCCAAGGCCAGTCCAGTCTGGGGGGCGCGGAATGGTAAGGGAGGAGACTGGGGGGTTAATAGAGGGTGGTGTGATTAGTACGGTCAGTGGGAGGGGCAGATACGGCGGGAGCAGAGGACCATATCGGGTTTTGGGAGCACGCACACGCTGCTTACAAGCTTGTGGGTGCTCCGATCCTCAGGGCTCTACTNGCGACTCCCAGGGGGAGGGCCTTCTCGGTGGGAGCTCCCACCCTCTGGAATGAACTACCCCCAGAGATCCGGGTGATCCCGGATCTCCCTTCCTTCCGCCGCGCCCTTAAGACATGGCTATTTCAACAAGCAGGACTGGCCTAGGGGGAGATTTTTAGTGGGGTTTTAAAAACAATTTTAAATTGACACAGGCCAAATCCAATATTTCATTTTAATTATGTTTTTTAAATTGGGGTTTTTTGTATTTGTTTTTTATCAGGCTGTCAGCCGCCCTGAGTCCGTAAGGAGAAGGGCGGGGTAAAAATTCAATTAAATAAATAAAAATAAATAAATAAATAAAAAATAATAAAAGATTGTTAAAAAAAATCTTCCCTCCCTGAAGAGAATTGGATTTGATTGGATCTCACAAAGTTGTCTTTGGGTTAGGCCTCAAAATTGTCAGCTCCTATCTGCCTTATTACATAGACCAGACAAGGGCAGATAAGCTAATTCTACTTTATTGTAAAACATTTTTTTTAAAAAAAAAAAAACCTTTCTTAATATTGTAATTGCTATAGCAGAATAAATGTAAAAGAAACAAAAATTCCCATACTTCCTACATTTTTATATGACAGAAAAAATAATTGGGTCCTTAAAGCTTGTATTAATTATATTTAAGTAGAACTGTAAGCTTTTGAAAATCGGAAGATGGAAAGATACATTGTGCATGCTCTGTAACTCAATCATTGACCAGTGAGTTTAATGTATTCTTTCCTCCTTTTTTTCTTTCTTTTTTTAATTTGTAGGTTTCCTAAGTACTGGAGACCAAGCAGCAAAAGGCAATTATGGATTACTTGACCAAATTCAAGCTCTGAGATGGATTGAAGAAAATATTGGATCATTTGGAGGAGACCCCAAAAGAGTCACTATTTTTGGATCAGGAGCTGGAGCATCTTGTGTTAGTTTGTTGACATTATCCCACTATTCAGAAGGTACCTAACCATTCTCCATGTTAAATAATATAATTTTAATAGTCATAAAGTAAGAATGGGTTGCAAAAACAGTAGGAATTAGTTCTAGAAATTACTACAGGTAATGCTCAATTTACAACCACAATTGAGCCAAAATTTTCTGTTGTTAAGTGAAACATTTATTAAGTGAATTTTACCCCATTTTATGACATTTCTTGCCACAGTTGTTAAGTGAAACACTACAGTTGTTAAGTTAATAACACAGTTGTTAAATGAATCTGGCTTCCTCATTGACTTTGCTTATTAGAAGGTTGCTAAAGGTGATCACATGACTCCAGGAGACTGCAATTTTCATAAATACATGCCAGTTGCCAGTGTCAAACTTTGATCACATGACCATGGAGATGAGTTGGATCGTAAGTGGAAAATTCATTTTTTCAGTGTGTCTATAACTTTGAATGGTCACAAATGGTTGTAAGTCAAGGACTACCTGTATGATATCAGCAACTTATGTAATACTAGACACACATGCCTGCATGGATCATTGTTTCAGTGATATTTCCTTATCTAAACAAAGAAACAGAATGACCAAGGGTGGGTAAAAAAGTAATGGGAGCAGAAGCAACTTCCAACTTCCTACCAGCTTCCTCACTGAGTTTCCTTGTGGGAATCTGACAGGTAACAATGGAAATTTCCCTTCCTTTCCCTTCCCTTCCCTTTTTGACAGGTAGGTAAGTGGCTGCTGATGAATGGGGGAGGAAGCAAGGCATTGGGAGACTGGCTGGGAAACTTTCAAGAGACATTGAAAATGAAGATCACATGACTGCAGCAGCAGTCTAGTAGTGCAGCAGCAACCTATAGCAGCCACAGCCTTTCCAAATTTCATTACCACGGGAGACATGGGTCACAGATTTTGAATGCATTCTGTAAGTTAGCCCACTTGAGGTCCCTTGGCTCAAAAATTGTTGCCCTATGATACATTATTTGCCCAGTTAAAAGTCATGAGAATAAGTGTTTTCATAATATATAGATTAAATCAATAAACTAATCAGGATCAAATTAGTACAATTCCATTCTAAAAAATACAGCATCCAAAAATCTTTTGCCACAATTAGATTGGTCAACCACGCATACTGCAAAAGAAAAAAAAGATATAAATTTGTGTTAGACTGCACAATATTCTACTGAAATATTCTACTCCACTATTCTGTTTGAAGTTGAGTTGATTAAATCATCCCATTGAACAAAATCTGCAGACTTGATTGTCAAATCAGTTCTCTGTTTTGAAGTAGCTTATGTATAAGAGATTTTGTGAAGCTTAGCAAAGTCCAGATACAAATGACAAAAGCATTACAGGTTTTTAAAAATAAAAAAGTTAATGTTGCCAGATAACAATTGCTATCAACATGTATCTATGTTAGGAAGAGAAAGTAACATCCTATGTAACATCCTGTTACATAGATGAATATCCTAGATATTCACATTGGATTTTTTTATACAATGAACATTGAATATGAGAGGAAATATAGCTATCATTTGGCAAGAGGACTGCAATAATATTTTGTTGTCATTGTTCTAAGCAAATTGAACAGTGCTTTCTCTTAATCAGTACGTCTTCGTGATATCATGTAAATATTCCTTTTGCTTTGTCAACTTTTGTTTGTGTGTGTATTTTAATTTTCACTTTTGCACCTGCAGGTCTGTTCCAAAAAGCAATCATTCAAAGTGGAACAGCCCTGTCCAGCTGGGCAGTGAATTACCAGCCTGCCAAGTACACTGCAATTTTGGCAGAAAAAGTGGGATGCAACACTTTGGACACTACAGACTTAGTTGAATGCTTTCGGAATAAGAACTACAAAGAACTCATTCAGCAAACAATCACGCCAGCTACATACCACATTGCCTTTGGGCCTGTGATTGATGGGGATGTAATTCCAGATGATCCACAGATTCTAATGGAACAGGGAGAATTTCTGAACTATGATATAATGCTTGGTGTAAACCAAGGAGAAGGTTTAAAATTTGTAGATGGAATTGTGGATAATGAAGAAGGCATATCTCCAAATGATTTTGATTTCTCCGTATCTAATTTTGTGGACAATCTATATGGTTATCCAGAAGGGAAAGATACTCTAAGAGAAACCATTAAATTCATGTACACAGATTGGGCAGACAAGGAGAATCCTGAAACACGAAGGAAGACTCTTGTAGCACTTTTTACTGACCACCAATGGGTTGCACCAGCTGTTGCCACAGCAGATCTCCATGCTCAATATGGTTCTCCAACCTACTTCTATGCATTTTATCACCATTGCCAAAGTGAAATGAAACCCACTTGGGCTGATTCTGCACATGGTGATGAAGTCCCTTATGTGTTTGGTATCCCCATGATAGGTCCTACTGAATTATTCAACTGCAACTTTTCAAAGAATGATGTCATGCTCAGTGCGGTTGTTATGACCTATTGGACAAACTTTGCCAAAACAGGGTAGGATGACACCTAAAATTTTAGACATTTCATTGCTTTATAATAATATAATTATAATGATAAAAGGTTATTTTTTGATATTGTTATAAAATCCTTCTTGTTGGACCTGTCCTTGTTTCACAGAAGGCACCCTGCTGTAGAATGAAAGCAGTGTTTTCCAAATATAATATACAAACAAGGCTAGCTTAAAAGAACATGGTGTAGATTTTGGGGAATTTGATCTCTCTATATGTAAAAGTATAAGGATTGATTATTTTGTCTTTTTTACAAATTATTCTGAATAGCTTTCAAGTCCTTGGACCTTATACAATTAAGTTTATCATCTTTGACTAAAATAGGCCTTGTCCCACCAACCCAGTTTAAAAGAGGCAAGGCACTAAAGCAAATTTGCCATTTTTAGGTATTATCAAGACTAAAGCTCATATTTCTTGCCATCCAACTACATTTCTTTGGAAGAATTGCAATACAAAATATAATTCAATCATCAAGCACATTTGATTTCTGTATATAGATATTGCTATGGCTGAGAGATATCTTTGTCACATTAAATTGTTTCATAAATAGCAACAATGTGGTTAGTTTGTCTATTTCAGCCCTGTTTTCTCAGCATTGTATATTCCCATAACATTTAGGGCATATAATGTGTTACAAAGAAAAAAAAAGGGAAAATTATTTAATCAATACTGCCATTGTGGTTTTTTTATATAATTAATTGGTTGCCTTTTTAAAATTAAAGATGGGGTAGAAGATGCAATAGAAGTAATTATATATATTTGTTTCTTCATCCAGGTATATGATTAATTTTAAATTTTATTTTTAGTTTCTTAAATGTGAAAGCTCACTATACATTTGTGAAGCATATGAAAGGAACATAATGCTACAATAGGTCAGAGGAACTTATTGGTAAAGCTAACAGAAAACATTTTATATAACTATTATCTTAATTAATAATGCAGTATTTCCCCCTCTAGATAGCAGTGATGGTTGTTCTTTTGTTTCAGGTTTTGAAACTTTTTTTGTTCTCTCTTCTTGTCTTAGTATTGAATTTTAAGAAAGGTCCTTTTAAGTAAGGGCCCATCAATCTTTCCAACGAACCTTTATGGCAAATCCATGCTTTCAGAACTGCAGCTCTACTGCAGTACAGAAAATGATATGCAGCAATATTGGACAGTTCAGAGAAAAACATAGTGTCCTGATTCATTCAGGAACTTAAGTAGATTTCATAGGATTTAAGAAAGTCAGACTGGCATATCATGAAAAAAAGCAAGCAATTGTTTCTGTTCCACAAAGAAACCAGGAGAGAACATATCCTTCTCTTTATTAAAAAGTGATGTACTCCTCTTTCTTTCTTGACTCTTAAATCTCAACTGCATTCTTACATTTTGGATGGATGGAGAAATGGATGCATGGATGATTGGACAGATAGATTAATTCCACTGACCTCCAACCCTGGTAATTTTTCCCATAAAAATCATAAATAACATAACATCACGTCACAACACAACACAACATAACATCAGAATTGGAAGGGACTTGTAGGTCATCTAATCCAACCCCCCACCCAAGCAGGAGACCCTACACCATTTCTGACAGATGACAGTCCAGTCTCTTCTTGAAAGCTTCCAGTGATTAAACTCCCCCAACATCTGAAGGCAAACTGTTCCACTGATTGATTGTTCTCACTGTCAGAAATCTTTTCCTTATCTCTAGGTTGTATCTCTCCTTGATCAGCTTCCATCCGTTATTCCTTGTCGTTGAATGCCTTGCTGAAGTCTAAATATACTATACTGGTCTACTAATTTAGTTACTTGGTCAAAGAATGAAATAAGATTGGCTTGGCATGATCTGTTTTTAATAAATCCATGCTGGCTTCTAGTTATAACATTATTTGTTTCTAAATGTTCGCAGATCTGTTTTTTAATTATCTTTTCCAGTATCTTCCCAGGTATTGATATTGGGCTAATTGGTCTGTAATTTCCTGGGTCTGTTTTTTTTTTCCTTTTTTGAAGATGGGAACCACATCAGCCCATTTCCAATCCTCTGGTAGTTCTCTGTGCTCCAGGATTTTTTAAATATATAGTACAATGGTTCTAAGATTACATCTGCCAGCTCCTTCAGAATTCTGGGATGTAATCTATCAGGTCCCAGTGATTTATATTCATCAAGATCAGACAGGGGTTCTCTTACCATTTTTTTCTTATTTTAACTTTTATTTCTAGTCTGTCTTTTTCAGTTGTTTTTGGTAGATTGTGTGAAGACCGATGCAAAGAATGAGTTAAGCAGCTCTGCTTTCTCTCTGCTGCCTGTTACTTCCTTGCCATCTTCTCTCTTTAGTGGACTGACTGTTTCCTTGATTTTTTTCTTGTTATTTATATTTCCTACATACATTTGTTAACCAGTTGGCAAAGAATCCATCTATTTTTTCTGCTTGGTTGGGTAGCCTGTGGTATATACCTATGGCAATGAAATTCTTTTTTTCTTTTATATTGACCCATGTGAATTCTAGGAGGTTTTCGTCTTTGGTCTCATGCATTTCTGTAGCAATATAGTGGTCTTTTACATAGAGTGCAACTCCACCTCCTCTTTTATGGAGTCTGTTTATTTTTAACGCTTTATATTCTTCTATCAGTATGTTCCATCCCACCAAGCTTCAGTAATTCCAATTATATCATATCTACCTTCATGTATTAATAATTCTAATTCACCCTGTTTGTTCCCCAAACTTTGTGTATTTGTATATAGGCATTTGATATCTTTTTGTCTGACTCTGGGTATGCTTCCTATGTTTGACATTTGAGTTTGTCTTCCTTCCTATCCCTCCTTACCTCATTATTTGATTGCTTTTCTAGGGGTTTTTGCTTGTAATTAGGTCCTGGAGATCCTAAAGATTGCTCCCCCTCCCCCTCAGTTTTAGTTGATAAGTTGAGCCAAGCGTTTTCCAAAAACGTTCTTCCCAGTTTTTGTGATTTTGTTCCCTTGAGAACTGAATCTCATATCACCAACACTCACCTTTTTTTTTCTAGGGAGTTTTGGGGTGTCTATCACAGAAGCACTTCATATTGCTACTATTTTAGAAACATTTGATGGTGCTTCTTTTGTAGGTGTCTGCGTGTTTTCTTCCAGGGACAAGTCTATGAAATTGATTGCTCAGCACCAGTGGGGCTGCATCAGTGTGGGTTGGGTTGGACAGGGGTTTTGTTCTAGGTTTGTGTTTTTTTTCTATGAGTGACATGTTTCCATGTGTAAGGGATCAATTCTTTTAGAAGTTATTTGATCATTATTATGGTCAATTTGGACACACTTTTCTTGCAAGGTTTGGGGTTTCTCATTTTGTGGGTTGAGTTTCAAAGTGGTTAGAGTTTACTCTAGACCTTTTATTATTTCTTCTTTTTTTTTACATTCAATAGTATTTATTCAACAAACGTGCTGTCTGAGTTTACATTCGCTAATACATATTTAATTCCTAATCCTTCATTCTTTCCTCTAGCCATTGATAAAATAAGTCCCAAGTTTGATAATATTTTGTTTCTTCCTTTTCTTTCAGCCTCAGAGTCAGTCTATCCATCTCCACACATTCTAATATTTTTTTAAAATTATTTCTTCATCTAATGGTATTTCTTCATTTTTCCAATACTGCGCAAATATAATTCTTGCCTCTGTTGTAACATGCAAAGTCAAATATATGCAATCAGTCTTTTCTGGCATTATACCTACTAAAAAAAGTTCAGGTTTAAAATCTACATATTCTCCCAAAAAATTTTCTAGCCAGGCATGTATCTTTTTCCAATAACTCTTTGCTTTGGCACATGTCCACCAAACACGGTAATAAGTACCTGACTTATGTTTGCATTTCCAACATCTATCTGACATGTTTTTAAACATTTTTGCTAGTCTTGCTGGTGGCAAGTGCCATCTATAAAACATTTTATATAAATTTTCTTTATAAGAAGTTGACATTGTCAATTTATAATTTATTTCCCACAAATTTTGCCATTTTTCCAGTTCTATATTGTATCCAATTTTTTTACCCATCTTATCATTGTTTCTTTAACTTATTAATTTTCCATTTTCAAAGTTAATAGAAAATTATAAAAATTCTTAATTTCTCATCAGAAGTTAATAATATCTTATCAAACAAAGTTTGCTCCTTGTAAAATCCATGCAGTTTAACATCTTTATCATATCTAACTTGCATTTGTAAATGTGCCCACCATGATAAATTGATACCCTGATTTTCCATTTCTTGTTTAGATTTTAAATTTCCTTCAGAATTTAGAATATCTCTGTATGTCCGGATTTTTGAAAGTACGTATGAATTTTATTTTTCCCATACCATAAGAAAGGGTGCCACCCCAATTGTAAATCATGCCCCTCCAAATATAACCACCTTTTGTTTCTAAAAATTATCCATTCTTTTACCCATGTTAATACAGATGCTTGATAATATAAAACCCACTCTGGTAAACCAAAACCTCCATTTTCCTTGGCATCTTGTAACATTTTCATGTTAATTCTAGCTTTCCTTGCCAAATAAATTTCAAAATTAATGAATTTAAATCTTCAAAGAATGTTTTCTCAAGTTTTATAGATATTGTTTGGAATAGAAATAAAATTTTCAATAGTATATTTATTTTCACTGTAGCAATTCTTCCTAATATTGACAATTGCAAGTTTTTCCATTTTTCCAAGTCCACTCTTATATGATTCAATAATTTTGTATAATTATCTTCCTTTATCGTTGAACATCTTGCTGTTAAGTATATCCCCAGGTATTTAATCTTTTTAACTATTTGTAGTTCTATTTTTTCTGACATTTATTTTTTTTGTTTATCTGAAAGATTTTTAACTATTATTTTAACTTTTTTTCTGTTTATTTTCAGTCCTGCTATTTCTCCATACTGTTCTATCTTTCCCAATAGTTTAGGAATAATCTCCAAGGGTTCTTCTAAAATAAATACCAAAATTTGCAAATGCTTGTAATTTGTATGTTTCACTTTTTA